CTTAGGTTTTGCATTCTAGCAGTGTTCCATTTCACTTTTGTCCAAATTCCATTCAGGGCAGTCTGGAGGTAGTTAAATTGCATTGGACTGTTCGTGCAACAGCCCGGTTAGCTCAGCCGGTAGAGCACCAGACTCTTAATCGCTTAGTCGTTGTAGGCCCAGCAAGAGATCTCATCTTTGAGTTTTGCACACCAAGGTATTTTCAAAGTATGACTTTTTATGCAAAACTACTCTATTGGTAGATTTAGTGATCACAAATGGATGGTTACTTAACACAACAGCTCAATATCCACATCTAATTGGATAGTATAAGAGAGCTGCATCGGAACACCTCTATGAAATAAACACTTTACTTTGCATTCACACGTCACGCATACTTTTGCTCTACATTCGCAAATAACTCATATCTCCATATAAATTCACATTAGCAGTGCTAGAGAGCATAAGAGGTATAACTATCTGGTGAAAATGTACTTGGGAAAAAAGGGAAGGGTCCTCCCTCACCTCTCCTGAAGCGCAGAACGAGATAGCCGTTTTTACTTGTGCTTAGGGACGGTTTAAGCCAAAGGCAAATGGTCTTTACATGAACGTTGAGAGTGAGGATCATCCGAATGGGTGAGAAGATTACTTCATGCACCAACTGAGATGATGTAAGAGTTGAACACTCACTTCTCTCACCTCCCCAGCACTCCGTCTCTTCTAGAAACTTATTGTTAGGGAGAAAAAAAACCACATTTCCTTGGCTATGAAACCTAAGCATTAGATTGGGCTCGCGAAGTCGGCTACTGTCCTTCTGCTCCTCCTCTCCCCCACCTCCCTCTTACCCACCGCCCGTTCCTCCCACTACATTTTCACCTTTTTTTCGGTAGGTTGCTTGTGATAAATGTCAACACTCCTATCGCAACAGTTCACGTGGCGGCTCAGCACTTCAGTGAATTAGTTGGGAGAAGATCATGCATGAATAAAAGATGAGGAAGGGGATGAAGATGATGACTCCAAGATCAGAAGGGAGACACATACAAAGGCGAATATGAGAGTATTTGAGTTGATGAATAGTTTTCCGTTGGAGAGATTCGCAGTGGAGCAGCACTTGTAATCGTGGATGGTAACGCCATAACGATCGATCGGAGGTACTGAGGCACACTGAAATCAGTTCAATAAGCTTTTCATCTCTCAAAGACCCTTCCCATAAAACCCCAGTTCACAGAAAGGGTTCTGGGAAATCGTCAACCACTGCTCGAATAGACGGTAAGGGCATCGAAGTGATACCGTCTGATACCCATGGCAACTTTGCGCCCGTCTCGAGTTCGATATCGAGCTCTCGACATTAAGGAGCTTCATATTTTTCATTCAAAAACACGCCCTTGACAAGCTTGAGCTCTTGAACGTAAACTGTCGGAGCCACAAATTCTATTACTAGAATTTCGAGTAACGGGAAAGGGTGAGAGGGAAGGCGCTGGAAATTTGCCAAATTAGGAAGTTAATTTTGTGATTAAGCTTGTCATCCGCCTTCAGATGACATAGTAACCTACCTGTTCTTCACGATTTTCGCACTCGTTTTTCGTGAATGCACAACGTCCTTCAATCGTTGAGGGAGCCTCGGACTGTTCCTGTTGAGAGAGTTCGATTCTGGAGATGATCTTGACACAGGAAGAAACCGACGACGAACAGTTACGTTCCTGGATTGTTGACAATCACTCGACGGTACATACAACTCATCATAACCACCTACCACTACATTGTCGGCTGTAAGTGTATCGTCCGCTCGTATTCGATAGTAGTAGCACTGGAGACCATGAACGGGTATGAAAAGAACGACGAGAAGCGCCACCAACGGCAACTTCCTCATGATGAACTAGCGGCACAAACTAGTCATTTAGACGAGGACCATACCGCGGAGGACTGCCAGCTACCTGTCTGAAATGAGATGATAAGTTTGCAATTGCTCTGCATCTTCCCTATTGCAAGAAAATCCCTGACTTCTGTAGAGTTGCGCCATACACATATTCAGAGCCCGTAAAGAATTGTGGGACAGCGGTCATCCCAACAAGATGCAAAATTTTGTTTCCATTAGAGAATATTCAACTATGAAGTGATTGCAAGTGGCTGTTTCCATTAGAGAATATTCAACTATGAAGTGATTGCAAGTGGCTATATCGCTCCGACGCCTGCACGCAGACAGAAGTGCTGGGGTTGACGTTCTGGCTCCTGTTGATATGCTTCTGGGCGAAGTCCATGTCAGCGTTCTACTTAGTCCCCCATTCTTGACATCCGAATGCCGAATCACCTTAGCAAAAGCATACCTCGATGGAACAACGAGGATCTATTTCAACGGAAACGGATATAATATGTGCTTTCTGAGAGTTTCTTCTAGAATGAAATTGTGGCCCCGAGGATAGCACGTGAGACAGTGTCAGGTCAAAAAACGGCCTTGGTAGGACGTCATAAGGACTCCGAAACTGGTTTGGAGGCGACACCTAAAAAAGGTTGAGTTATTAGGTCTTATTCTTCTTGTTCTAAGAGGATCAGCCATCTCGTGTAGTTTTTGACCCATAACTCTTTAAAGACGATTTTTTAAAGACGAATATTGATTATAAAAGAGAGTCATATAGTCCACGAAACAGACTTATTCCGTAATCCAACGTCAGTCACCATATGTGAACCCTGGTTTTCCGTTTCTAGAGCGAGCATGGGTGCCCTTCGTTGCGCCCGTCCGTCAGGTTACGTGACTACTTGAACTTTCTCTGCATCTCTGACGGCAAGAGGCTAGAGCCCAGAGAAAAACACCCCGGGTGAAGCCTACGGCGGTGGTGGTGGGGGCCCCATTGGACAGGCGAGCACAACACGCAAAGTCCACATCAAACGGGAGTGCGCCAGACAAGGGCAGAAAAATGACGCATCCGGCAAATTTAAAGGAACCGAGTTCAAGTAGTCCGTAGGCCCGTCCGTCAAAACTACGTCACACCGCAGCTGTCCCACGCGGAGTATCAGCCTTCAATCTTTGAGAAACGTCGCACTTGTTCAGTGGGGCANCTCCCAAAATCACTACGAATTTTCCACATTACTTAATGAATATGTCGAAAATGCTTTCTGCCACCCTATTTTTGTGTATTTGTATTTTATTTTTGTGTATTATTGTATTTTCTGTGTTTGTGATTTTGTTTTGTTTTTGTATGACCATTATCGAATGAAACAAAAATACTCAGGAATAGTATTTGCCATTTGATCGGGCCAGGGTAGCGGACACGGAGAAGATATCTACGAAACCCTACGCGCGCGACAACCTGGCCCCTCCTGGCCGATCCAACTGCAATACTCCCTAGATTCAATGAATAATATGACCCACTGGGTCTTTTTAGCTGAAAAAGATGACAGAATCAACTACTTTTCCATGCTGCACCTCTCCTACCAACAGTTTGCCAGCGGTCCGGCTCCACGGCTGTAAGATTCTTACAGCGGATCTTGAAGAAATACAACTACCATCGTTATGTAAGTGGATTTTTTTTTGGATGAGTTAGACAAAAAGTGAAAACCCCGTATTTCAGAGGATCAAATTCAAAAGAACGATAACAATTGATACAACACAATAATCGATTCTCAATGAGGAAGCCCTCTCAGTAAATGAGCTGAGTGGGTTGATTGGGTCGAATGAGTCGAGTGTACAGAGACCAGGATAAGGCGACGAATGAATTTATTATTATGGGTTTAGAGAAAGAATCTCGTTCCGCTCAAAAAACTCAGCTAGTTACGCCAAGCCGGTTAGCTGGTTCACCGAAAGAATCAAGAAACCCCAGCCTCCGTTTGCGACAAATTGGGTGGCCATAATTAGTCATGAACTCTACTGGTATTTGCCACAAAAATCTGCCGCTCGCTACGCGTGACTTTGGACCAATCTGGCTGCTACAAGCCCCACAGCGCCAATATTCTCGCTGAATGTAAGACACAACATCCATGAAGCAACCCCCTTATATTTTTCAATGTTCTTTCCTCCAAACCTGAAGCACTGTTATATCTTAAGTTCCACCTGCACGGTGCCAAGCCCCTTGAAGTGCGGATGACTAGAAAAGCTGGAAAGCTAGAAGATAACTGATGAGTTAGAAAGGCTGCACAGCCAAAGCCGTTGAAAGAGAATTGAAAGCAGCCCAGTAAGAACGACAGACGAAAGGGACCGACTTCGACAAGTAAATTTAGGAATGCCTTTCACGATGGTAGGGGTTTTCTATGATGGAATGCTTTGAAGAGTTCACCAGTTGGAAGTGAACGGAGCTTTTGTTGAAAGTTGTGACACAATGGGAAAAGGAACCAAATAACCTCCGCACGTAACAATAGCAAGCGTTCGACTGCGAGTCACCTGACGAGTTCCCTCGAGTACTTAGGACGCTGCCAAGTGCATGGTAATGTGTTTATAAGTCTGTAATGGGTCAAGAGAACCGCAAGAACCAGGCGAAGGAACAGGAATGGAAAATTATTATAAGTGTTGCTAATAATCAGCGATTGGATTGAGGGGCGAAGACAGTTCAAGTGTGAAGACAAGCGGAGAAAGAACTTTGAGGCGGGTATCACATGAAAGAAGACTATTGCATGGGTAAGTCTTCCGATCCTATTGTAGGAAGTTTGTCATCCAAGTTTTACAAGTTGACTTTGCAGAAAGCACCCCCAGAAGCACAAGTACGCTTGGAGTCCTTCTCGTCCCAGGCGCACGTTTGACTTCTTACTCGCCGATGTTGTGAGGGAATCGAATTGAGTACTGCGGCGAAATAAGGGCAGTTAACAGGAACATCAAGCCGATCATCCGCTTATTTTCAGCATAAATGGATGCGTGACATCTAGCCATTTCTTGGATTACTACTCTCCTTGGTTACTCTGTTATCCAAAATGGAAGCCATTATGAACTTTGCTTTGGGATCTTTTTGCCCTTTGAGAAGGTGTAGTGGCACTGGAGCACCGTCACGCACGCATGATTCTGGTCTTGAATCTCGGACCTATACTCGCCTTGGCACCGAACGTTCTTCTTCCCGGAATTAGTTAATAAGGTACAAACTTCTGAGGTGACAAAATCACTGAGTTGTATTTTGGCTGGCCACCACAAGCCATTGTGCAGATGACCCACGCGCGTAATAGCCACTGCAGGGAGGGAGGTGGGAGGGAAGTTGAGTGTGGGACACCAACCCTGAGATGGAATTGACCAACAATCACAGACTTTACACTTTCCCTTTTGATTTGAGAATTTAGGCGGCTTCTGGTAAGGAATTTCACTGATGTGCACTGCTGCGAAGCGTAAATGATTAAAATATCGGGAAAAAGAAGTGTCAATGATGCGCCAGTATAGAGAATGGGAGTCGTTAATGGAAAAACGGCTTTTTTATAGAGTAGAAGAAGCGATTGGCAAAAAAATTGGCAAAGTATCGTTCTCAATACGGAAAAAATTAGAGTGAGTCGACTCCGTGCATGTTTTCTTCCTTATAAGTCGTTTAAGCAGCTTATGCATCTATGTGGCACTCGTCTCTGCCAGGATTGAAATCTCATCTCAACTCTGCACGGCTTATCCTCTTAAGAATTGCTCGTCCTATAATAGCTGTAAGCGTGTATCAAGCAGATGCCTAGCTGAAATCCTGGGGAAGGATGAAGGATAAGGTTTCCGACGTTAACCAGTCCCATCTGGAATGTTACGAGTTTGGTACTAAATAGTCGGCCCCGAACGGATTGAAAACCTGGTTAACCTAATTGGATATTCATCCGGAATTCGACCCACTTACTATGTGTGTGTTAGGACCCCATCTGTAATACGCAAACTTCCTCCCTTCCTTCCTTTGGGCTGTTATATCAGCAAACTCCTACAACTTAGTTTTCTCAGTTTTAACAGGCGACAGCTCTAAGCGACATTTTGTTTGTAAATTGAGGTCAACATAATTGTACAGTACAGATTATTTTCCTATTCTCTTTGTGAATAATACAAAGTTTCAGCACTAGTCATCTTTCCCTGAGTACTCAGGAATAGCTTGCAAAAGGCCTGATAATAGTCTTCAATGAACTGAATTCGTTGCCTTCAAGCAATGCGAAGCACTTTTCACTCTTCCAGTCTCATACTCGATCTAACAAGGGGAGGATACTTTGTCGCAGGGGCCATTCAAAATGAGACGTATACCGTTGTAGGTGGTTTCGAACGCTGATCTCAAAGCTGTGCTCCAATCCTGCGAAACTTTTGGGAGGTATTTCATGGAAAAGCAAAGCAAGCACATGCATCAAGGAATCGACTCTTGATGTCATGCCTAGCAGTCCATTCCACTACCCGCNCGACGTTAACCAGTCCCATCTGGAATGTTACGAGTTTGGTACTAAATAGTCGGCCCCGAACGGATTGAAAACCTGGTTAACCTAATNCTCAGCCCGGTGATCCGTTCGGTACAGTCGTATAACACAGGGAGGCTCCGGTCCCGTAACTTTGTTCCCAGAATCGTTTCGCAGATTTGGAACACAGATTTGAGATCAGCGTTCGAAACCTCCTACAGGGGTATACATATCATCTTGAATGGCCACTGCGACCAAGTATCCTTCCCTTGTAAGATGTACTGACAGAGTACAGTGTTGGATGTGTCGCAGAAACGATAACAATCCCTCAGGAAAGCAAACACGGTCTAAGTAGGCATAAATGTGAACGCTTCTATGCTGTCAAGAGCTCCTAATGGCCTTACCCTCATGGCGCACCCACATCTTCACATTATTTTCAGGGACCAAGTAATGCATGTGTGTTTAGGCACCAAAATACTCTGATAAAACAAACAGGGTGCTTAAAAGTTGGTGGCGTTCTACACCCGTATATCATGCATGACGCCAAAGGTTGCTAGTTACCCGGCCCCCTCTTCGTGATAACACTAATGAATCATATATGAAACGATTTGCGGAGGACTTGCTGAGCACCTCACGAGTTACTTTTTATGCTTAGTTGATTGACCACGATCTTTAGCCCAGGTTCAGTTTGGGAATTTTCTATTATCGACCGCATAGAGCTGGTTACCTAGATCTCTGATGGGTGTAGAATGAATGAATGACCTCAGTTTCTTCAATCTTCTTTTGCTGAACTACGGGAGACAAGAAATCGGGTCAGTTTCAGCGGCCTAACTGCACTTTAGCCTTTTCAAAGCTCTTTGGTTCAAAGGCAAAGTTATGGAAAAAATGCCGCTCTAATACAACCTAAAGGCAGAACAGCTTTGATATGAGAAAGGCTCAAGCAACACTGAATAAACGAGAGCATTTCGTATTACAGGAGACAAAATCTAACCCCTACTGATAACTGCTGCTACTAGATGGCATTGAAAAGGTCCTTCACATATTTTTTATGGGCCAATCTAACTAAACAGACCTTTAAGGGTCTGTTTAGTTAGATCGGCCCATAAAAAATATGTGAAGGACCTTTTCATACTTGCTTAAAAATAGATCGCGGCTTCAATTTTGGATCTATTACTGCAGATAGCACTTTGATAAAGAAGTGATTTCAAAGATGAGTTGAGCACCGACAACATATACCACGTAGTTCTCCTTTTTTTGCGATAAAGGTTTCTTATTTTGAAAACAGCTGTATGAACGGCCTCAAGTGAACGTGGGATAGGGTTCAAGTGGGGAATATTGGGCTAGAAAAGGCGAGCCAGAAAAGGTTGCTCAAATTTCAAGGGATATTATGCTGTGTCACCCAAGAAGGTATTCTATACCTTTGATGAAAGAATGCTTACATTGTTTCGAGACTGGAAAAGATGTGTTCTTCGTATACGTGGTAGCTGATGCATGTAGGTCGCTAACACTATGTATTTCGATAAAAACATAGACTCGTACGAAAGCGTGAGTCTGACAACCCGAATCAGACCTTTGCAATAGAGAAGTTGTAGCGTGGTCCCGGTACTCACATTGTGAAGAAACCTGTGTTGTTGCATAACAAAGAACACGCCGACAACATCGCCAATTACTGTAGGATTTGTCTGCTTTCGAAAACCAACCCCTCCTACGAGCTCTCCCGGGTAGTAACAACAGAATATCAAATGGGAGACTCGCCCCAAGAGGTCCCGAAGGATTTCGGTAAGTGTTCAGTATGATGGGTCACTTACCGAAACTAGGACCCCAGTCCCAATGTGGTTTCAGCCATGGTTCTTCATCAGAGGAAGAAAGCCCTGGCACACAGTCACAAACCATAGCCCTAGGCAAGGGATGAGATGATTGAAATGGCAGATCGTGGAAATCCTGGCTAAACTTTGACTACAGCGTTGTTCCCTCGCTTCTTCCCCTTCGACTTTGCTTCGGGATACCCCATTTTCACAAACGGACTGGTTCAGGCAATCCCAGTGAACTATTCAATAGGCAGGTCATAATACATGTTATTCACGATTCATAATAATTACAATAATCATCTGAATAATTCTGATGAGAAAATCAATCAGTGAAACAAATTTCATAACGAAGACATAATAATAATGAAGAAAGAATGAATAAGACACTGAGACGCTCACCTTTCTATGGCGGCAGCGGGCGAAAAAATACAAAAGGGGGGAAATCGAGGAAAAGACAGAGCAAACAGGGATAGCTGCGGGAAAGTGAATTTCATTTGACTGCTCACAACGGAAAATCAATACAGCTGTCTGTAATCAATAAGTGGCCAATCGATCTACGGATCAATATGTGCAGGGGTCAAGCGATCAGTTACCACTAATCAGATATAGCAGCGAGGTGATGGGTCTGTAAGAATTTTGAATGGATGAATAAATGAATGCAACACATGTAAATGCGCTAACTCGAATTTTTGAGGGTGGGGCATGACCAATCATCGATCGGCTCAAAAGATCAATAGCACAAATGTCGATAATCAATGAGCATTGCGTCTAACTGCATGTAGAAGGACCCAAGGCATGTCTTAGTGACGCAGTCGCTCGGACGCTTATGGGCGGGCCTATTCGAAAAAAGGTAAAGCCACGCCCATGTACCTCTACAGTACGAATACGAACTGCGCCCAAAAACGACGACGATACGAGTAGAAACCTAATCGACTATACAACCTACAGTAAACCCAGCAATATAAGAATGTGTATAGGCAGCTCGACAAGTACCTATGAAGAGAAAATCAATAGAAATTAGCATTTAGAACATGCAACATGCAAATAAATGAACAAATTTTTCACATTCACAACCGTAATTGTATTTAGCAACAAGGTGCGCGATTATATGATGAAGGAACGAGTAAAACTCTATCGGACCAAACGCAGAGCGATGAAAAAAAATCAGCAAAAAGTCGTGAAGCGGCGACGGCGGCGGCGATCAAATAGTATAAATGTATGTATATAACCTCGACGCGAGAGGACAAACTCCTCCTGACTAGAGGATAAGACGAGCATTTCAGAAAAGAAGAAACACAGAGAAACAGAAAACCGTGTATCATCACAGATAGGAGTGGTTGTAATGGAAGGAAAGTGTCTAGAGAACGAATCGACAATTATATAGAAATCACGGAAATGACGGGATGGAGTTGCACACGGGAAGAATTGTCCAGGAGATGGTCAACATATCGCGCAACAACATGGCTTTTTATCGCGTCTCGAGGCATCGCCGTTCGGCCGTAGATCTTGCATTTCGGATGGACCTTTGCCTGAAAAAAAATGTTAGAGCTTTTTGATATCCAACGAGTCTCAGTAGTACCCCTACTTCCGCCCCCCCCCCCCCCCCCCCCCCCCCCCCCCCCCCCCACCTACCTCCCTTCACACCTGGTCTTCCGCCCCCCTCCCTAACAGATCCCTCATACCATGCAACAACTAGACTCTCTGTAAGATGGGGATGGTGTCTGCCTAGGGATAATTGTTGTCATGACTAACAGTCAAGCACTTAGAGTAGCTAGTTAAGCTAGTTTTCAAGTTATGGGTTCAGACAGAATTGTCTCTGAGCTAGCTCAATTTGTCCCTAGTTCTATTAAAGGTGCAGGGGAATAGAATTTCACTCAGTACATCTATTTTCTACCATTATATCTATAAAAGCCCTTCGATGACGAATAAAAGGCCTTTTTGTATATCTCGGACAGCAGCCATCCCGAAAATCCGTACTTATTGTAATTCTGACATGGGATCTACAAAATCCACCCAAATGGCAGCTGCACTGATAGTTCCAGAGAGATGTCTAATTTACCAAGAAGGAAGAACGAGTGAGAGGAAACTCACCTTTGCCGCTCTTTTTTGCTCGTCGTCGCTGGCTACCGCCTCGTCTTGGCGTGCCTTCGTCATCGTCGTCACCACCCGTCTCCAACTTTCGTAGCCATTCATCAGGGCTCATCGGCTTCGGCTTGTTACTCTGCTGAAAAATACGGAGAGCATGGCAATCAGAATAGACAACAGTACTGTCACCACTCACTTTAAGAACGCGTTTGTTTGGCGAATCTCGATTGCCATGCAAGGGTGGCTGCATTGCATTGACATCGGATGAGACGTCCTCTTTTGACCATGACCTACAGTGGGAAAACTATTTTGAGAAATTAATAGATTTCTTCCCTACAGGGGAATTGGAACATCCCAACTGATCCGAAATAAAACCCAAAAAAACTGCTCAAAAAACAAACCGAATGATGTCGGCGCCCTCCTTTTGGGCTTCGATCCTCGCCGGTGCCAAGCCACTTCGGTCACGCAATGAAAGACGTCGAATGGCGCCTCGAGCCGAGAATGGATTATCGCCACCAGTGGCAACTTGTTGGGGTGACTCGAACTTCTTGCGCCTGTAGGATGAGGTTTAGTGGGAATCCCAAATGGGCAATAACTAGCAGGAACAAGCTCATACCGCCTGCTTTGCCGCCGACTGTCGCGCACTCCAAATGCCATTCGCTTCTTTCGTGCCTCTTGCTGTTGCATTGTGGCGATGACTGCACGAGTGGTCTCATCTTCGCAGAGGTCTAGAACACATTGGCTTTAAGTGATATTTTCTACCCAACTGGGGTATCCGAAGAATCCAGACCTTTAGAGACTTTAAATATTAGGTTGAGTAAAAAGTTTTGATCGACCTTCGTCCCTTTTTTCGTAGGACCGCTCGGAAGGACTTCGTAATGGGTTATGGTAGACCGATCCCTAACCTGTATTTTTAAAGGGATATATAAGCATCCCTTGGAAGTGCTTCGCAAAAATGACTTCAATCTTCAACTGGCGCCCGAAGCTGTCTGAGAGCTATCGTCTGTCACGAATTACTGTAAGGGCATAATCCACCGACGGCTGTGGCAAATATCTATGGTGCATCCAGAAGGGTCATCGTATCTCAGCTCACGGGTGCCTCATGACGAAGCACCTCCAAGACTAACAGAGAAGTAGGCTATGTCCGAGGAAGGTTTTACTGTGTCGTCGGTGGACATTCTCAGGGAATGCTCTACATTGGATAACTTACTGAGGGCTCCACCGTGACCGCCGAGATTTACGCTTTTCAGCTACAGAGTTTGGTCGACGTTGTTCGAAGGAAGCGTCCGCAGCGTGAAAATGTTTGTCTTTTTCACGACAGCGCTCAACCGCATGTTGCGAAATTATTTTGTCAGTAAATTGCCGAACTTAGATGTGCTGTGCTAACCCATTCTACTTATACGCGAGGTCTCGCTCCGTCTGATTACCATTTGTTTCTTGCTCTGAAACATCACCTCCGCGATAGAAATTTTGATGGCTGCCCGGAGCTCAAAGATGAGAACTCCAGCTTTTTCGAATCGTGGCCGCCACCCTTCTAGGCTTTAGGAGTCAAGAAAGTGCCGGTTCGTTAGACGTATGTTTAGGACAACGATGGAGACTATATTACTGATTGAGATCCTCTTTCAATGGAATTANGACTTTTTAAAGTGAAGATTGAAAAGCCGATCAAAACTTTTTACTCAACCTAATATATATGTTACGGATACCCCTAGCTAACTCGGGAGAACACTTCATTAGAAATAATGGATAGGAAAGACGCGGGCGCTCTGCAGCTTGTAGAAGCTCAAATGAATGGATTTGTTTTTTGAGGAAGTGTTCCTGTCGAAGTCATATCTGCACTTGGAGCACTAAGTTATTTGCTCGCGATCTCTTTTTTTGGCAGTTACATCCTTCCGCTTCGTTTCCGTTTCGTTTTCCCTTCAATTTCTGACCAATGGGCTGGGCTTGGAATGGTTTTATGTAAACTTCACGTGGATTTTTCTTCTAACAGCGAAAGATTGAAGAATTTCTTCATACCTAGAGGAGCCTCGCCACTGCTCGTCTTCGCATTGATGTCACCACCGTACTCACAAATCAACTCCACCAAGTCGGGCTGGGCCCAGCAAGCAGCGGCGTGCACCGGTTGCCATAGGTCGTTATCTCTGAATTATAAATAATAGAGTAAGAAAGCGTGTAATAGAATGACGGAGCTCACTTCCGGGCTTATTTATTGGGCATGAGACAAAGAAAAGGTTGCACATAGCCAACAGGGCAACTAAACGATCAAGTTCAAAAGCAGTGTCCGCCAAGCAGTCAGCACCTCCTACGATGTGCCTAATATGCCTCACTAACTCTGTTTCCCAGAAGACTATGCTGGCTTCCTCAATCTCTGCAGCTATGCAATAACAGATATGAGGTATAGGAGCGAAGACTTTTCGTATGCTGTCTGAAGAGTAAGTAGGTTCAACTGAGGGTCTGGCATCTCTTCAAGTCCTACCAACACTCTCTGCAACACTACTGCTTTTGAGCTTTCTGCGAGGGCCTGCTAGTTTACTGAGAGGTCTCAGGGTAGATCCATAAATGTGCCACGTGATCAATATCTGATAGATCTAACTGGGATCTCCTAGCTTTACAAACTCTCATATTTGACTGTAATGCGTGAGTGTTTCTGAGTAATTCCTTTCTTTAGTCTCTTAACTTCGAAAAATTGTGAGCTTCGGAGAATTGGACTCTACATAGGCAGAATGAGCATGCAGTCAACGACATTCAACACGCTGTGGAGAAAAGTTCCAGAGGATGCTTGGAATTCTCGATGCAAGTGCACAGGGGTGCAACTTCCGAGCTCCGCCAACGAACGAAGATAGGGGAAACCGTTGCTTACGCCAGGAAATCAAACAAAATGTGGGCCGGACACGTCGCGGATATCGCGGGGACCATTAGACCATTGCAGTTACAGACTGGACGTCTCTCAAGAAATCAAACGATTATCAGGACGGCCGCCAGCGAGTAATAAGTCTTCTTCATAGAAGCTCTAAACGAAAAAGTGCCTCGTCCGCAGGCTGGGTAGCCCATTGGATTGTCCTCGCTCGAGGGAGGACAATCCACTGTACTACTCGGCCTGCGATTGGAGTTATCTAGCTGGTGCTCGAGGATATTGTGATTAACGGAACGATAGGTGATACAGGTGATAAAGCTGTGAAGGAAGAGCAACTTCCTAGGGTCTTGGAATATGCTTGCTCTTGACTTTCCAAAAACTTCAGGGACGCCTATGTTCAATTTCAGTTCTTTGTGCAGTAGAGAGATACGATTTCCTAATGCCTCTTCACTTTCGTACATCGTGCGTTCCGCGAATCACTCTCACGTCCAAACCACCACCTCTTCCGTGTTTGAAGACATAGCTCATGATGAACTTGTGTTGGTGCAGAGTAGTGGTCTCGGAAAAAGCGAGAAAATCCGCGGAGATGCAGACTATTGGGCCTTTCAAAAGTAGTGAAAAAAGGAGTTGTACCAAACTTAGACAACGGAAGTGTACGGAAGAAGTGTTTTGACAAGATTTTATAACTGTGCGATTGCATGAAGAGCTGGCCACAGTACGTAAAAATTGATGAGAAGCTCTTTCTAGTTGTCTTGGGTTGGGACTGCATGTAATAAAGATTTTGTGCTACTGCTAGCTTCATTTCGTTAATCTCTGTAATTTGTTATTAACGCTCTTTCACACCCATACGCCCAAGTTACACTACAAAAGAAAATCAATGAGTTATCCGCGAAAACATTACACCCGTCTGGATTCTCAAAGCATGTGTTCCATTGTGGATGATGCAGCCTCTGCAATGCCGTGGAAACACGTACACTTTTGGGTGTGGGCGTCGATGGAAGCGGTCTGTTAGCCTTCACTGCGTACTACCTACATAGTCTGTTTTTCGACTCGACAACGACCCACGTGGAATAACAACAAAGACACGTCCTAGTGGGAACCTTAAAAACCATTTCCTTCATGAACGTGCCTTCGATTATCTGGTACCTAAAATGACCCCGGGAAGACGCGTACGCATAAAATGGATCCACAAAACTTTCTAACATAGTGTACCACGGCATTTTTGCGTCGCTCGACTTAGGACACTGGAAAACATAGTTGGACGGCCAAAATCCAATCGTCGGCCAGGTTGGAAAACATGCGGTAAGCCTAACAAAGCCTATGGGTAGCCAACAACGCAGGCCAAGCTTGAAGTTCCTTTCCGGTTACCTACTCGGGGGTCAGGGAACTTCTCCCCTAACACGGCGACGCACACGCCGCACCCGCCGCCTATCGCAGGATTGCGATGAAAGATTGGAGCGCGCAATTTGTGAGGTAGGGAGTCCTTTAATCATTTGAATTGGCTGGTCGCTCCCTTCAATTTCAATGCGGTATTGATCGTCGTTTATATAAGAGGAGTCATTTTAATTAATCAAGTCTAATAAAGATGAAAACTAAAAAGAAACAGAAGAAAAAACGATAAAATCCAATGAAAAAGCAAGCCAGTCAAGGAAAAATATCGCGTCCTATCGATTTTCGGGAGGCGGGGTGAGTACGGTAATTGCAGTGACATTTGCCGCATGCCGCAAGGGAGAATGCCGCGATAGGGGAGAAGTTCCGTTACCCCCTACTCGGTCGTGAGGTTACGCTGCATCCCTAATATCGCAACGTTCGCGATCAAAAAATTTTAGATCTCCGACTGTAGGTGATCTGGCGGGATTGGGAGTTTGAACTTTGGTCTTTGGCTGCAGGTTATAAAAAGGCCCCCATGAATCAATAGATTCATTCTTCATTCTTCTCGAACCCTCGCCCACGCCTCGAAGTCCTGAATTTATTTTGTGCTGCCAGTTATTGTATTCGTTGCTGTTATTACTGCATAAATTATATACTACTACTAGACCACCACATTTGGAAAAGAAGAAATACGGCTCTCCACAGTCTATCTGGAGAAAACATTATATATATTGATATCGGGATATACATCCTTTTTATGGTGCATCTGTCAAAAGGACCAGGAAACCAGTGAGGAGGTACCGAATTTTCATTTGAACGCTCAGAACTTTTGAGTCTCATTTTGAAAGTTCACGCAGAATTCACGCCATTAGAACACGCTTTTTTCAATTGAATACTTTGATTGGAATTTTCTCATTCATTCGGTTTTTTTCATTTTTTCGTCTTTGTTTCGACAAAAATCGATCGATAAAAGAATCAAACACGAAAAGTAACCATGTCGGGTCCAATGGCGCTAAAAACACGGAAATCCCTCCTCACTCGGTATTGCAACAATCTGGTCAACAAAACCGCGAGCGAGCACAGCGCAGCAAAAGGTCTTGGGATTACCGTGGGATAGCAGAAGCGACAAGCTATCAATTCGATGCAATCTCCCACCTACGCCACACCTCACCAAAGGATCGTAGCAAGACAAATTGCTTCAGTGTATGACCCCTTTGGGTGGCTTGTCCCACTTCTCACCCAAGCAAAAAGATTCCAACAAGACTTGTGGAAGCACAAGTATGGCTGGGACACACCATTACCTGAAGACCTGCAGAAGCGCTGGAATACGCTTTGTGAAAATGCACATGGATTTGAGCGCACCTTCTGTAGACGCCTCGTGAGCAATCCAGAACGCAGCAGTCTAGCAGTCTTTTCTGACGCTAGCTCCATCGCTATGTCGGCATACGCCTATATCTTCGGTGCTGAGCAGTCCACATTGGTTATGGCGAAATGCAAACTACCCTTCATAAAAAGTAACCCAACCATACCCAAAATGGAAATGAACGCATTAGCGATATCATTACGCCTAGCACTCTCAGTATTCCAAGCGCTTAAGGAACGCATTCCCCAGGGTTTGAGAAGCGCCTACATCTTCTCCGATTCGCAAGTGGCGTTAAGCTGGCTAGCCTCAAACCCAGCCGCATCAAACCTAGGAATGCTCGTTAATAACCGCTTGAAAGAAATACGACGTATTGTAGAGGCCTTCAACAGCCAAGGAGTTGAAGTGCATTTTAAATTCGTACCGACAAATCAAAATCCAGCTGATGCTGGTACTCGTGGTCTCACAAAAACGCAGTTGGACCATGTTTTTTCTGCGATACACAAAGCTCGTGAAAGCAAAATCGGGTTTATGACCACCCTCCTTGTTTTGGTCTTCGAAAAAGTATCGAGAAATAACAATACGCACACAATTCGTTTTGAAGTTCACGCTCAAAAATAACATCCAAAGAACGCTCCGAAAACTTCATGACATAGAAAAGTCAATTGGTAAACAAAAATGTACAGCTAACAATACGCATTCGGTTTACGCCAACTTTACTCCTTCAGATTATGGACTTGTACGAGGAAGTTCAACGCTTACGCCGGGTCAAAGAGGCCATTCCGCCGCTGCCTGACCCATACACGCTGTACAACAAGCTGATACACAAAAGCATGCAACTACGTGTAGCGACTCGCTTTATGAGTGATCTATTTTGTCGTATTCAGGACTTGAGGAAATCCAAAAAAGACCCGAAAGAAGGCTGGGCGCAGTTTAAATTGTTAGAAATCCTAAGGGAAAAGACATGGGCTGAATTTACGCTTTTACGTACAGAGCTCCGCACTCTATTCGCCGTTGTGCCATTGATAATCGGCTTAGGGATGATATCTGAAGACGACTGGAACATCCTGATGGACAGGCCACAATGAGACGACAGAGGAAAACCGCTCGTACTGGATCAACACCACCTGGAGCATGTAATCTCGGACCAGTTGGACATTCTTGAAGAGTACCGGTCGATGCTGGCTGAGCTGAGACTTGAAATCAANGAGGTTATCCAGCAGAATGCGGAATTTATGGAAAATGTCGCAGTGGACGACGGAGGAGAAGAATACGAGGCTGTGATGTTGCAGCGCAGACGCCAAATAGATAGAGAGATCTTCGACGCTTACGCAGAAATAGAGGAACTCGACAATCTCATCGCCGAACTCAAAAGAGAACCCAAATGTGAACCCAGGGACTTCAGTCGAGGGGTCATAAGACGCTTGGACGAAAGAACGATTTGCTGTGTTTTTTTGCCCGGGAATCGGAGAGCACTATAGCGATTCTTGTGAGATTTACAAGGAAAGCTCGGTGCGCCGATCGATACTGAAGGAAGAACATAGATGCGCTTGCTGCCTCGAAATAAGATTCCAACACCACATCTGTCGCAAGTACAACGTGAAATGTTATCACTGCAAAAGGTATGGACACCATAGTTCCGTCTGCGACCTACCAGGAAGGTCTGCGGAAATCAACAGAAACCTGGCCCAAGCTACGCATGCGAAGAAGGAAGCCGAACACAGGATCAAGGAGTCAAAGGAGCGGCTGGAGGAGCTACAGGGACATGTCTATCCGGCGTGAATTTTATGAAGAGTTAAATTGTTCGTTACTAATATTTACGTTTCATGTTGTCTAACACGGGTTACAGAACGGGACCCTAAGTGGTGGGGAATATCGCGACGTTCGCGATCAAAAAATTTTAGATCTCCGACTGTAGGTGATCTGGCGGGATTTGGAGTTTGAACTTTGTTCTTTGGCCTGCAGGTATAAAAAGGCCCCCATGAATCAATAGATTCATTCTTCATTCTTCTCGAACCCTCGCCCACGCCTCGAAGTCCTGGACTTATTTTGTGCTGCCAGTTGTTGTATTCGTTGCTGTTATTACTGCATAAATTATATACTACTACTGGACCACCACATTTGGAAAAGAAGAAATACGGCTCTCCACGGTCTATCTGGAGAAAACATTATATATATTGATATCGGGATATACATCCTTTTTACCTAATACGTTCTTCCACGTAGTGGTCTGGAGGGCATAAAACTAGGTTGTCACACCTACTTCCACGGCGAATAAACTACTCTTGTTCGGAACACATGCCACACTAGGGAGGGACAGTTCATGAGGGACAGTTTCTTCACTTCTATACCCTCTACTTTCCCCTTGCAGGAGACATGGACATGAGTCTCCCACGCTTGCGTGTCTGTGTCTCCTGTCCGTGCCGGCTAGGGTGACCTCGCTCGAAGCGATACGACTGTTTTATTCAGAAGAAATTAGAAGAATCAAAGCAAAGGACTTGTTTGAATAAAAAGTCCCAGGCCCTGCGAAAGAGACTTTCAAAAGAGGATGGTTTTGTTTAGAGCTTTCTCGCTCTTGATTGCTTTTCCTGTTTGTTTCCGTTCCTGTGCAACAGCTAATGGCTAGAAATATCACCCACCGTGAAGTCGCCGGTACTCCGCATCGTAACAGAAACGCGGCCACATCATAATAGCCGTTTGCAGCAGCAGTGTGCAGCTAAAAAGCAACATATCTCTCCATATTACACTTGGAGAACAGCCTGTGTAATGTTTGCCAGCAAAACTGCTAGAAAAAAATGAATTCGAAAAAACACGCACGTAAGTAGAGCCATCCGGTTGACGTGCATCGAGTGGGAAGCCCTGCTGATGAAGACTTTTCATATCGTCCAACATCGCCTTCTCAGGAGCTCCGCGCTGATCATCAATGTAGGCCTGAATCAAGCAAAAATCGATTATTGATCATTGCTTTCGTTTTGAACGAGAAATCGAATATTGTGAAGGGGGGGGGGGGGGGGGGGGGNNGGGGGGGTTGACTAGTACCTCTGTGGGGGAAAGACAAGCAAGGAGAAGGGTAAGAGGGACAAGATCTTGAATGAAGTAATAACAGTACACGAAAGCCAGCCCACCTATCGAGGTGGATCATTCAATTGCCAACTCACCTGGGTGATGCCTCGAGCGGCCATTTCGCTTTCGATAGCATCCAGAGTGGTTTCATCATCGCAAATATCGTAAGGCATATTACCGTCCGCATTTACGGCTAGCAAATTTGCACCACTAAAAATTCAAGAAATCAATGGGATCGAAGATGATGCTAGATCAAATTTTCTTTTCTACAAGTTTCACGTTGCCCAGATGTTTGATCCTTAGATTTCTGGCCAAATTGACATACCCGGTGACTCCAACACGTTACTTATGGTTAGTTATGAAGTTGGATTTTTATTGGGAATAAAAGAAAACCAGAACGCCGTTACAACTATGCTGCCCCCTCTCATTCTACATTTGAGGGTGAAGTCGCCCTCATCGTTCAGGTGAACTAACAAGAAGTCTTGCTCAGTTGTTACGTCAGTGCTGTGCTTTCAAAAAGCTTTCTGGCAAAAAAAAAGGATTCTCATCGAGATTCATATAACGGGCTAGCAAGAGATAAAGCCTCAAAGGTCCCTTGGCTTCAATCACTCCCGTCTGTGGGTCCCACCCTTCGGCTTCCATTCGGAATCACAGTGACGTATATTTCGTACGAGTTATTTTGTCCGTGTCCGCTACCGTGGTTCAATCGAAAGGCGAATATTGTCTCTGGGTATTTTTGTTTATTCGATCCTGGTCATACGAAATCAAAACAAAATCAATCAGGAAAATAGGTGGAGGGGGGGGGGGG